CAGGAATGCAGCCACAGAAACCATAAGGTTCAGGAGATGTCGACAACAGGTTCATTCTGAGCAAAACAAATCAGTGAAGCCAATGAGCCCCAGAGCCAAAGGCTAATACTTTAATGCCTGTGTTATATAACTGCTTGGGACTTTTTCATTTTACTTTTCTATATTAACAGTGCTCTCATGCTTACCCAGTTACTGAGACTGTTAAATTTTGCATGAGTCAACCATTTTCTTGGTTCCATCTTTCACTTAAGTTTTGACTAATAAAAACCAATCAACTAAAAAAAACCCTGAATATAGCACTCATTGGCACCCTATATAAAGTGAAACTAACAGTGCAGACCTAAACACATTTAAATTCTTCTAATGGACTTTTGAAGGGTGTTAATTCTGCTTAGGATTGCACTACATCCTTCTAAGATATCTGCATCTTTGTTTTCTCCCTCTTCATCCCAGGCACAGCATATTTCAAGAAAATATACAATGTCAATAGCGTAGTACACAGATTATCTTCCATTTTTACTTCTTCCAGTACAGTTACCATGGTCCCCAGAAGATGGATTTTCTTTCACTTAAGAACTGGCAGCAGGTCACCTTTGAAAAGGCACAGTTTCTCCCATAATTGCATCACCACAGGAGAAACTGCACTAGCAAAACATTAGCACATAAAAGGACATAAACCTCAGCCTCTTTGGGAATACAGTCATCCTTTTCTGTGCTGCATAAACGAAGTTCTAAATTCTGTAAACTATGTATGAGGCTCACTCATGCACATCTCTCCTATAGCATGGATTCATGGGAGCACAGTGCAATGGGTCACACCATTTGCACGCGTCTAACCACAGTGGAACCAACTTTCACTGGTCTGCTGTACCCCAACTGTATTACTTTTGTTTCAGGGGATGGCATGAGGTAAGAAGGGGCTGAAGTAATACAACGCACCATGCGTGAAGCGCCCAAAACGCCGTGAGTGGCCACTTTTCTGCAACGAAAAAGAAAAGAGGGTTACCTCAGGATGGGTAGATTGAGATGGAGGCATATACCGGAAATAAGGGGCCTACACTGTATAGTAGCCAATCTGCATGGGAACTGCTGCCCTGGCAGAAGGGCAACATCAAAGAAAAGTCCAGTCAAAAATGAAGAGCTGGTTCTGCTTCTCAGCTGCCACCAGGGCAGGTGCTACAACAATACCGTAGAGTATTCTTCCAGGACAGTTGGATGCCAAGCAGAATTTGTGGCTGTCTATGGAATGGGATGCCAAGCACAGGCTCATGCAGAGGCCTAGAGGGGAAATCCCAAGTGGCAGAGCTGGAATGCTGTCACTCTTCCAGACATGGCATCACGCACTGCCCCAGGTGAACCAGACTGAGTCCCTTTGATGTGAGCCAATTCCCAAACAGACCTCAAACACACACATATACACACTGTGGAAAAATAGTGGTCTGCTCATTACGTCCTGAACAGCTGTGAACTATGAGGATAACTCCAATGTGGGCATCCGCCCAGACAGCCACATTTGACAGCTCCCCCGTAGACAAGTTGATAGCCCAGTCACCACAAACACAGGATGTGCCTCTCCCATGAAGACGTGGTGGTTCTATACTCTCACTGTCCTACTGACCAATACTCAGAGAAACCAAATATATGCATCCATGAAACAGCCACAATCTTCTGGACTGCCACTCATACAGAGTCTCCATGCCCCTTACTCTATAGGCGTACCCCATTTAATGTGGCTCCCAGCAGGAACCAAACCATACAGATTCCATGTAGGAAAAGGTTATTGGCACATGAATTCAACTATACCTAACCTCCTTACATAGTTGGC